TGGAATATGAATGGCTTCTATTCAATCTTTTGATCATGGAGGGTGGTTGTTTGCTATATCAGAGAGTAGTCTTTTGTGTGGCTTCACTGCATGTGGTAGAGAGATAAATGATCTATGATCACTCTTTTTTAGCACATGTTGAAATAAATGAGCTGAGGTTAAGCTAGTCCCTATGTCGTCGTCGTCGTCATCTAGTGCCAGTACTTTTAGTGATTAAGTTGCATCTGGTTTAAAAAAATCCTATATTTAGCCTGCCTTCTAAAACCTGTTAATAATTTTGTCCGTCTGTAAGTTGACTGTTGATTTTATCAAGATTCCGTGTTGTCATTAATTTAATAATATTTGTTCCCAAAACACGCCTCCTTCCCACCTAGATTTTCCAATCTCATTTATGACACCCTAACCCAAGTCTCTTTTCTTCATCTCTCTCTCTCTCTCTCTCTCTCTCTCTCTCTCTCTCTCTCTCTCTCTCTCTCTCTCTCTCTCTCTCTCTCTCTCTCTCTCTCTCTCTCTCTCTCTCTCTCTCTCTCTCTCTCTCTCTCTCTCTCTCTCTCTCTCTCTCTCTCTCTCTCTCTCTCTCTCTCTCTCTCTAAATTAAACTACTACGAAGCATTTTAAAACTGAAAGCCTTAAGATCCTATCTCTTTCTCTATTAATTTCTCACTTCTGTTATTTGCAAGCCTTGCCTATTTCCTATTCCACAATGCCATATATGTTGTTATCCAAAATTGAAGATCAAGGAAGAAGATAGGTCTAGACTGCGAAACAAAACTCAAGACATCCCCGGCTCGCAAGAGACAAGAAAAAAAGAATCACTCTTACACCAAATTATGAATTTTGATAGTGGATTTGAGATTTTCGATTCAGAATTTGATTGTTGAATTCTAGAGAGTGGGATAGAGGGATGGGTGAAAGAAATGAGGCTGTGAATTAAAATGGTTGTTTGGGTATGTAAAAAATATCAAACCAATCTTTCAGTAAATTAACAGTCGATGCTGGGTAAGGAGCCAATGAGCAGGGGTGGAGGGTGACTAAAGTTGTCAGGGACAGGGCTTTGAAGAAAACAAAAAACAACATTTTTTTAGGGGCCAAATTATAAAATTGTAGTGGCTTATTTGAAACAAATACTAATCTGAAGGGGCTTTGCTGAATTTTCAAAAATGTTGGGGGGCATGGCCCCCTCATAGTTGGTTCGCTTCCCACCCCTTCCAATGAGTTTGTAACTCAATTGGTATCCATGTCTCCCTCCCCCAATAGGTCTCAGGTCAGGTTTTGTTTTTCTTTCCTTTGTAACAACAACAAAAATAATAATAATATTGGTTAGGTAATTTACTTATGATTTCTGAAACTAGGACACCTACAATTGCTTCAAAATCACAGAGACTAAATTATTATTGTTGCTCTAGTTTTCTTCTTTTATTTACTTATTATTATTATCAAGACTCGTTTAAAATGTGGGGTATAAAATTGTTTACCAATCAAATTATGATGGCAGGGGAATCGAACCTTCCGCTTCAGCATCAGAAGTTAAGAAGGCATATCACAAAGCTGCACTTAGACACCATCCTGACAAGGTTTCTTGCATGTTCTACATTATGGATATGCTTATCATGATTCACCCTTTTGACACATTGGTTATTGATGCAGGCTGGTCAGTCTCTGGCAAGAAGTGATAATGTAGATGATGGCCTGTGGAAGGAGATAGGAGAAGAAGTCCACAAGGATGCTGACAGACTTTTTAAAATGATTGGAGAGGCATATGCCATACTTTCAGACCCTGCTAAGGTCTCATGCACGTTTCTATTATGCAATCTATTATACTTCCACATCTTCTATTGGCTCAGCTTTTTAATATTGCCGTGAATCTGATAATCCTTTGTTTTCCCTCCCCAAATGGGGAAAAACTTCCGTTCTGAAGTATTTTCCCTTGCTAACAAGGTATTCTTTGAGCTAGTCTAAGAAGATGCATTGCCTTAATATGGGTGTCGGTGTGTTGCGCGCTGGTTTCTTTTACAATTTACAATACTGCCCCTGCCTCCAATGATTTCAAGTAATTGGTTTGTTATAGAAATGAAAATTATGCAAATTCTTTTTGTGGTTATTTGTGTAAAAAGAAGAAAGAAGAAAAGGAGGTGAAGTAGAGAACATATAGGTATGTGGAAAACCAAGTTCTAATGTATACAATGACTAGTGGATTGCAAGGCTGAAGTTGTTTTATGTGAAAATATGATGTTTTATTTGCTTGTTGCTAGGACACATGCTGCATTTTCATGGTCTAGTGATGACAATCATGCTTAATTTCTCTGAACAAGAACTTGAAGAACCTTAATATATTAATTTTGTGTTGACAAATTTAATTCTCTTGCTGCACGTCCCTTGTTCTAACATACACAACGACTAGTGGATTGCAAGGCTGACTATGAAGTTATTTAATGTGAAAATATGATGTTGCTTTATGTGCTTGTAGCTAAGACACTAGCTGCATTTTCATGGTCTAGTGATGACAATCATGCTTAATTTCTCTGAACAAGAACATCAAGAATCATCATGCACTTAGTTTTGTTTTGACAAATTTAACTCTCTTCTTGCATGTCTCTCACTCTTGTTCATGGTGTTTCCTTTGCTGGGATGCTTGCATGCTTATGCTTCATGTTTACTTGTTTTGCTGCTTGCTCTGTGTCATCAGAAGTGTTCTTTTTGTAATCTGCATGACTCGTTATCTATTAAACAATATGCTGTTTGCCGGACATTTGGTAGCTCCCTCTGCAGTTGCTTATTTTGCTGTACACCTATTAATGCCTTGGTATGTTGTGGTTCGTATTTCCATTATGTGAGAAAAATCGGTGTTTATTTGCTCAATATACAATGTTGTGCAGCGCTCGCAATATGATCTTGAAGAAGCAATGAGGAATGACCCAAAGAAACGAAGTGGAAGCAGCACATACAGAACACATACAGAAGCTCAGAATTACCCATTTGAAAGCAGTAGGAGACATTGGAAGGGGGTTTGGAGGTCACATGGTCGGTAACTCAACCAATGGAAAGCCAGGATCCACTTGATTTAACAGATTTTGATGACAATTGTGTGGCATGAATGACAAGAAGAATCTCGAGATTCCTGATCAAGTTAGTCCATCTGTAAGTCAGGCAACAAGTCTGGTGGTTGGCCAGCATCTGTCCGTAGCTTCGATCCAGAGGTCTTGCAGATGGGAATTCATACCTACTAATGCTTAAGAACTGACAACCTAAATGCAGAGAACTGCCTTACCGTTGAAAACCTTTCCAAAAATCGTGGATTTCTCACATGCTAGCTAATTTGGTACAGGAGAGCTGGTTTGTATTGAAAGTTTGACAGGTAATTGTCAGATTGCGTGATGGTTGAATTCTGGAAGAGCAAGAAAAACATCAAATAGCACAAACAAAGAAAAGGCATGCTGTTTAAATGCAATCTGAGAGTGAAAAAGGAGATTGCTAACTGTCCGAATTGTGTAAATGCATCGGCTTTGTACAGATGAATAGATGACAACGCAATCAAGAAACTAAACCAGTATCCTGGAAATTATATTGGACTCTGGTTAGATGAATTCTTTAGGTGAATCCTAGATGTACTGGTCCTTGCGTTAAGATTTTCTTTCTAGTTTAATTTCGTCTAGTGATTGTATGTAAATTGATCATGAGTGGCATGCCCAAACTCGCACCATTTCCACTTACCCAACCTTTTATTAAATTTCCATTTGAATATCTTGACTTCAATTCTATCTATTTGAGTATCCTATTTTGTATTTTTGTTTTAATGTGGTCATTTTCATGACGAGGTCTAAAAGAGAGGTAAGGGATGATATGGCTGCGATCTCATGTCAAGTGGCAAAAGAGCAGATTGGGATTGGAAAAAATAAAGAAGTGAAAATGAGTTGATTTGTTGAAAAAATAAAACTAGATTAATATAAAATCTTGGATGGAAATGCTTTCTTAAAATCGTTCTATAGGATATCCTTACCATTGAACAAAAAAATAATAGAATTAAGGGAGCAGGATATGCTTCATTTTGCCAGTGACCTTTGCCATAGATGCAGGAAGTCGTGTTTTAATATAACAGCAGTACTTTGTCTGTACTCTTATAGAGCAATGGTTACTAGTTTATTTCAAGGACATTTGGCCCTTGTATTTGCGGTGTTGTTGTGGCTTTGATACCAAATTACTCAACTGATGAGAGGGCGGGTTTAGCAGGAGAAGCGGTAGCTTGAAGCAACTTGCCGATGCTTTCAAATATACACTTCTGAATCAATGCTTAACTTCTCTACTTCAAATAGATATGCTAACAATAGCCATCAGATATACAATTTCCTTAATTAAGATAACTGTTAAGCTATGGATTCTTATCGGGCTGAGAGTTACTTTTAGTTACAGGCATGACATGGCTCAATTTCTTCTGAAGCTAGTAGATAACCATGAAGGTTTGTAGATAGTTGTAGAAGCAAATCCATCCTGTTGGTTTTAGTTGTTACATGCATGCAATGACTATCCATTACAGAATCCTCTTCCTACACAGGATAGGTTTGGTTAGGATGTGGCAATGAGCATGAACATAATTCAGTGTCCAAAATAAATTATCGGCATTGTAAAAGCATGCTTTGTTCATAATCATCCCATGGCAATAAGGAGCATGAACATAATTCAGTGTCCAAAATCAATTCTTGACATTGTAGAAGCATTCTTTGTTCATAATCATCCCATTTCACGAATATTTTTTGTTTCTGATATGTATTTCTTTGCTTACAAAGGATCTTTCCATTGCGTTCTCTAAGCAAAGTTTCTCTCCCCTCCGCTACTGTATCGAGTTTGTGATGTCTTCCTGCAGGGTAAAGATGAGGAGAATTATACGATACTTTCCTGGTTGTCAGATTTGTCATAGCAACCGATTCTTTTTCTCTCATTTGCCTTTTTTTTTTTTCCCTCTCTTTTCAAGTCTGGTTAATCTTTGGATTCCTGGAGAATTTTGGCATCAAACTCGAGCTTTATTTTAAAAATAGAATTTGCCCTAGTCCTACCTCTTCAAACCCTTTTTCTCTTCATATTCGAAGAAGTACAAAGCTTGGTTCGATCATGTAAGCAGAGGATTAAACGTGTTCAAAAGTGTACGTACTTTACAGCTTATACTAGAGTGAAAAATTAGAATTGTTCCCTTAGTTCATTAAGGTGGTTTACTATTTTCATGAATATCCTCAAAAGAGTAAACCTCTGAACAGTCTGCAACCTTTAGTGCTAAATAAAAAGCTCAGGATAAATCTGTAATCTCCACCACCAGAGTCCTGAATTGTAATACCTGGAAAGTAAACGTCAGATTAGTGCAAGTCACTTGAACCTGGACTTGTGAATTCAGACACTGACATATTATGAAATGCTGGATTGACACTGGAACATTTTACCTTTTAAGTGTATGGTAGCAAAACCGAGGAAGAAAAATGCAGTATGCTTGGATAGCTTAGAATTCTCACACGTATATTCCCAATCCAAGCTCTTTTGGGTCTGTTTCCACCATCCAAGGTGGCCTGTTGAATAAGGAAACATTAACGCAAGGCTAAGGGGAAAAAAAGAAACAAATGAAGGGAATTGCGTCTCTGGATTAGTATAATTACTTGTTCATTATAAAATTAATCGTTCCTTCTGTTGCACGATTCAGAAGAAGTTCTCTTGCCTCAATTGCAATTCCTTCAGGCTATATAGTGAATTTGAAAATGAGTTCGTAACATTTGAATATAGAACTTGTATTATTAAAATTATTTAGCTATTGTACATACCTCTTCGGGAAACCAGACCCCTGGTTGCGTGCTCCCTTCAAGAACTGCAAGAGCAAAAGCAGCTGTTGCATTTCCCACAGAACTGAAAGCCAGGATTTTCAAGAGCTTAGCATTTTGTTATTAACATATTTTTTCCAGAAGCATTTAAATGCTGGTTTTAATTGAATGGGCTAAAATTATCTTGAAACCCGGGACTTACACGGAGAGTTTCCGGTGACTAAATAAACCAAGGGTATTGCGCCCATCTGTGCACTCCAAATCAACCTGTCCAGTGAGTAGAAAAATTAACAATGAAGTGGAACATATTGTTGAATAATTTGCTTAACATTCAGTGCATTCCACCATCCTCTTTTCTTAATACAACTAAGTAAATATAATCAGCTATGAATTGCTTTTTTTATCATCATCATCACCATCATCTCACCCTCAGTGAAACACGCTCTCCAGCAATCCCATCAACTGCTCGGACTAGAGGGTCAAACAACTTAACCATCTGTTGGACTTTGGTCCTGTCCTTCAGAAATTCCTGCAAAGAATTAATCAAGGTTTATAGCTACAATGTTAAGATTTAAGAGCATAGCACATCGTATCTTGGCATGCCCCTATTTCTTTAGTTGTTATCAAATGATCCTTCACTTGCAAAAAACACAACAAATTACATGGCAAGCTGCCAATTTTTGGTTAAAAAAAAAGGAAGGAAAAACAGAGTTATGATTAACTCTTTGTATTGATTAATATATATTGATAACATTTTCAGAAGCAATAGAATGAACTTGTTATGAAATCATCAAACTACACTTTTAACTATTAGTGGTATTGGTAATTTCGATTATGGAAATTAGGTGAGAGCATACTGGAGACAGAAGATTTGTCATGGCCAACATTCCCCAATTCCAAAAGAATGGTGCAGTTCCAAATCGAGCACTGACTGTTGGTATTCCTAGGACATCATGAGCACTTCGAACTTCAGGTAAATTCCTGGACATAAGGATATATATTGAGTTGAAAGTTTTTGAAAGAAAAGGATCTTTACAATATTTACAAAAAAATCAAGACAGAAACCAAATGGCTCTTTTCAACATAAGACAGTTACCATATAGTGTACAGTTTTTCAAAGTTGTAATATACTACTACATGCATCTGATAAAATAAAGAAGAATAAAAAAACTAAATGCATGTGATACGTGCAACATATTATTTTGGATCCAGTAAACATGAATTAACTTCCAATAATATAATCCTAGAAGGACTCGGTATTTGTAGGAAAACAGAAAACTACTTCATTCATGGATGAGCTTCATTGAAGAACATTCTTGTCATAAGTTTTGATTTACAAACTATAAAATGCTAAAGAACGAGCAAAGCGCAAACCATAGAAAAGAAAAAAGAACGATTACTAACTACAATGTAGTTGTGGTCAATTTACCCCAAGGGAACCCTGGGGGATAGAAGGGTTACACTACTACAAACTAAGAAGAACCTGACAAACAGAAGTATGTGATCGTGGAATTGACGAAAGAAGAAAAAGGACGAGGAACAAAAGGATGCAAACCATTCTAGGAAGGAGAGGAAGAAGCTCCACATGAGAAGAGAGGAAATTCTCTTAGGCTGATGTACAGAAGAAGACTATTCATAGTTGATTCAAGGAGGAAATGAAATGCTGATTATGAAGTGTTTTGCAGTTCATCCAACGATGGTCTTGAGCCTTTGAAAGACACAAACAGTGACTAAACTTTCTGAGTGTGGCATTGGCAGGGCTGTAATTTCTCCAAGTTTGATTAATTGCAATAGTTAAGGGTGTGGAAAACAAAAGTTTTCACCAAAGCCAGAAAGATACATGGGAATTTGTAGATACTTAAAATAAGGATGTGAGAACTGGTGCATGAATACTGATAACTATGATCAAAATTGGTCCATCTGAATCTATGATGCTCATTCGAAATTCGATTGTAGACCTGTTAAATAGATGAACTGGCATCTAGAAACTGGAACGTTGATTTTTTTTCTGATTTGAGAGAAATTTCTTTCAGGCACTTACAACAGGTAAACATCTCGCTTTCCGATCCCTTTTCCAAAGTCGATGTTAAGCATTCCACTATATGGCTTTAGTTTGATCTTTTCTCCTGATTAAATAAACATTACCATTGTTTAAGTGTTGATTCAAGGAGGAGTACTATAGTAGAAACTGAAGAGGATTGTGCTGGTTCGTAAAATGCTGCTGAGACTGACCCTTATTATATGCAACAACCTCCTCACCAAGAAGTAAGAAACTAGTAGCTAGTATGGTTGGACCAGCACCACCACTGCCTGCTGTGTAGTAGTAGAACCTGAGAAGAAGAGAATTCGAGTGTAAACAGTATAAACTTTAAAACAAACCATTGAATAGCTGCTTTATGGCATCATGCAATGGATCAGCATTTACCAAGCAGCAAAGATGCGCCACTTCCATGTTAATTCAATTGATTAGTTTCTACTGGAATGAAAGGAGTTTCATAATGATATGCCTTAACTCGAAAATAAGCATTAAAGATACCACCAAGGACCAAATTTCTTTCAACCAAAATCAGAATGGAAAATGAAGATTTTGGCCTCTGAGGTTGATGGCACGGCTAAGGAGAAGTGCTTTCAGAATGAAACACACATTTTCCACTTCAAGGAAAAATTTATGAGGTGCCAGAAATTATGGATGGAGATGAGCACCAATCTTCATCAGAACTTATATTAGAGAACTGAGGTGGTACTGCAGATACTGGTAAACTAAAGTGGTGGTAAGGCAAGAATCTCTAGATGGATAGTTAACATTCAAAGGATGATACATTATGCTAAAATTGTAAGAGAACCCATAGTGGCATTTGGTGATGAATAAGGAGTTATTGACTAGTCAAAACTTTCTTTGGTTTAAGTTCTAAGATGAGAAAACAACTACCTCAGCCTCTCTGGCTTTCCCTTGCTTTCAGTTTTCGCAGCACGTACTAGCTCTGCTGCCATGACTGTCATGATAGTGGTAGAAATTAGCAAGTAGGGTTGAATAAAAGCACAGTATCTGAATGTGAGGTGGTTTTCCACATGATGTAATGTATGATCTATCCGCCACTTCTATATCAATGTAAAATATAAGAGGCTACTCTATACTAGTGTAATTATGTTTTCTTCAGGCATTTGCTAGCTTTAAGGCCCAAATGGTGGGTTTGCATGAGACTGGCAGTGGCATGACCTTAAGGCAGCTGATAGCATTAGTCATAAGAATGTTCAGAAACTCAAACTGCAAAGCTTCTTTGAGTTATAACTTTTCTTCTTTTTTCTATAAAAAAGTCATCTCAAAGCAATGATGCAATGTACTTGGGGCTGCCGGAATTAATCTTTTTGAATTTGACTCTATCCAGAGGCACATGGTTTATATGATAAGATATGCTCCTTAAATTCACAAAATGATAAGTGATGAGTGTGTTTTGAGTCCAAATACAGAAATGAATTTTATACAGGGGACAAAGTATGCAAATAAAAATGATGGCCTAGCAAGAATGCTGGTAATCATACCATTGCTCACTCCTGGATAGATTCCACCAGTTGTTATGGCAGGAATATTTGCAGCTAAGGCTTTATCCTTGAAGGACTTTGCACGCAGTGCATAGCTTGTATCATCACAAACATCAACATATGCTGTCTGTTAGGAAAAGGCAAAAAGACAGCTCCTGAGATGATATCTTTGTAACAATTATAAACACGCCTAATAAGCATTCACTTGTACAAAGAAATCTAACCTGAATGTTGATATTCAGAAACATAATGTTTACCTTTCCTCACCTTGGTCTCTATGGCAGCTTCAAGTACAGTGCATTTTGCGGCCTGTTGAAAAGGCCCTGCAGCGTGAACGACGAGATCTACATCTGCAAAGGGATTAATACAGCTTGAGACTTGGAAGTTCTGAGAAGCCAGAACAAAGCTGTTCAGTTCATTACATTTTCATTTGAGGAGGATTACAGCCAAGATTTTCATCTGGTAGGTATTAATTATTACAGCTGAAGTGTGCTTGTTTCCTAAAGCTTGGCCAAGTGATGGCATTTTTTAGGAACTTATAGATATTGAATCTAAATCTTGTCTGGACTAAACCTGGTTGGGCTCCATGAAAAATGTAGAACCCCATGATTTATGAGACAAATTCTACAAAAGGGAGGAAGCAAATGGAAGTCAACCCCCATGCTTAGAACTCCAATCAGATACAGTAACTTGTCTTCTCAACATACGTGGAGGGCTAAAATAACATAAATCAAGCACAATCATGAACAGCAAGATCTCTTTAAAACTCAAAAAGCGCAGTGAAAAGAAAAATAGTTGCAAAATTTATCCTTGCTGAAGCCTTCTTAACCTTCTGAATTTTATTTTTTCTCGTCCCCAATTAAGTCCGAATGGAGCCGTAAAATGACCCAGGATATGTATGTTCAAAACATGAGCAAGTACTAGAAAACACAGAAGTAAAAAATAATGGCTTTGCAATTCTGATAATTAAAAGATTACTGTACCTTTCAGAGCAGCTCCCAATGAGTCTACATTCTCAATGTTGACTTCAGTGAACTCGGAGTTCCTCCCCAATTGACCCACCATCGCAGCACCTTTTTCCCTACCATCAATTTCCTCACTTCTTATTTTTCTTTTTTAGCCACTTTCTCGGAAACCAAACAGAAAACAAACAAGGGCTTTTGTTAAATTTACCTGTTTCGACCACCAATCACAATTCTAAGGTCAGGGCAGAACTTGGAGAGAGCAGTGGCAGTGGACCCACCGACCCGACCCGTTCCACCCAGTACAAGAACGCTTGAGTTGCGAGTCTTCTCAGGAAGTTGAACAACGTTGCTGTTAGAATTATCATGTTTACACTCTTTAACGCAAGCCTTTACACTCGTGCTGCTCTTCAACTGAAGCAGAGCTTGTCTGGCTACCATTACAAATGCCATTACATTTGTTGTTCTGCTCTCTCCTAAAAATGGAAAGACTAAACGTCAGGCCACCTCCCTCTTATCCCATCGTCAGTTTATCGTTTGCAATGATGTGGCATCTTATGGTAAGTGCTGACATGGTGATATGGTATCCACATGGTCTCTTTAACTTTAAGTGCATCAACTTTTTTATAATGTTCATTTCAGTCCTCTTTGGTGCCGATTTCTCACAATTTACACACAAGATCTGCCTCGTTGGATGAGGGCAGTGAAATATTTCAAGAACGAAGGCAGGAAAAGAGTTCATCCAATGGACTTGCCCACCCTTAATTTTGCATTGGAAGCGTCAATTAGATAATTTACCCTGATGAAGCTCTTGGCTCGTCAATAATACACTTCTTTTCTTGCCCTGAATTTTGCATGTCAACTGGGGCCTGATCCTCTTTGTCACCGTTCCTCGAGGGGCTTGTTCAGGTCAAAATCTTTTCCAGGTGAGAAAGGCTAGGAGGACCAGGCTGTGCAGGCTCAGTATTAAGATCTATATTCTGGTCCTCTTTGAGCCAGCCCTCGTGTCATGTTCGCTTTCTCTATGGCCTCTTGAGTCGGATTCGACAATATAGGTGCCGATTGAGTTCATCCTCGTCGGTCTTCTCCTCCTGGAGAAGGAAAAGCTACCCTCTATGGGCTTGAATTTGTTGAGCCTGGTAATGGGCCCATCAAAGGCGGAAGAAGGCACTCTTATTTATAGTCGATTTAATCATGCTTTAATTGTTTAGTTCCATATGGTATATATTTAATAAGCATCGATTAAATATTATTTTTAAATAAATATATAAAAAAAAATGCATGGACATAACAAACTGGAATAGCAGTTAAATTTTAACTTGAGTTTAAAGTTGATAAAAACCTTCTAAATTATTAATTAATTTGCAAAATAAACTAAACAAAAGACTAGTTAGTTACAAGATAAATAATGAAAATGAACTTGCAATAAAGATTAAAATAAAATTCTATGATGCATGCTTAGCATATAATTAAATATTTAAAATAGTATTTAAATATGCAAATATCTTAACATGCATATCAACACGTAAAAACAATTATTATACTCAAATTAAAATGAAAATATAAAATATCTACTCATTAAAATATTTAAAATTAGATTAAGATAAAAATCTATTATCATCAATAATTAATTATTTATCCTTCTAGTTTTAGTACTCATCTTTTGATACAGATAGAATGACTGCAATTATTTTTTCAGAATTCCAACAGCATTAAATTGTTTTTTTGCATTTCTAGACAATGTTCGTGAACTTAAAAAAAAAAAAACAATTACTTGGAATCTCTTTACAGTAATAAAATCCAAGCTCTACAGTAAAGGGGGAAAAAACGCAATTATAAAACACCCTTCCTCCAATCTCTTGCAGTGAGTTCTGAAAGAAACTAATATAAAAATAATTTTCATAATTACCATGATTAATTTTTATCATTTATTAGCTTTAATTACCCACCTTGGAGCAAAACCATGATGGTTTTTTGTTTTAAAATCTTTTTTTTCTATATAAATAGAAACCATTCAAGTTTTTTAAAAAAATTGTTGGGATTCTTTATTCATAAACGAGGCAAATAAAATAAGCTAGCAAAAAATTAATTCTTCAAGGGTGAATAGTTATTTTAAAGCATACACAATTTCAAAATAAACTAATAAAAAATAATTATTTATTTAATAAAAAAATATTTTAGTTTAAGCCCAAGTCTAGGACATAATCAAACCCTAAACTTAGGCTCGATCAAACCCAAACTCGAGATCCAAGAATACATGCTCGTATGAATTAAACTCAAAGCTCATTTTATATGAGCCTTTTCTCTTTAAAAACGTTGACGATATTAGATCCATCTTTAAATCTTTAATTTACTAATATATAAATTATAAGAAAAGTTTATAATTTTTTAATATAAGATTAAATTTTATTGGGTTTACTAATAGTTTTTTATATCAATCTATTATTTACTTCCAATTTATTTCAATTAGAGAATAATTTCCAACAATTTTTTAATTATAAAAACGAGGGGCTCCTGATTTTAAGCATGTTTATTAGCCATTTCTATAATATGTTTTTAAACAAATAAAACAAAGCAAAAGTGCTAGTATTTATGAGACTGAATTGTAATTACTCTTAAATACACTCGGTGATAGCTTTCCACAAGTCATGGTGCTGCTGCTAATTTAGTTGTTTGTGTCATTTAAAATATAAAAATGTATTTATAATATTATGGTAGTGATTATTTTTTATTTATTAATTTATTTCAATAATATTTTTTAGCTTGATTTTTATATGAATGAATTAAAATAAATAAAAAGTATAAATTTTTTTGAAACAAAATAAATTCAAAATTTTTAAAAATATACCCTCAACTGTGTTCTCAAATATGTTTTTATTATTTATTGCTGATATAGGATTAATGTCGTAGATTCATATTAATTGGTTTTTTAAGTATTTTTATATAGTTTTGATGTATTAATAAAAAAATAAAAAATATTTTAATTAAAAAAATATTTTTTAAAAAATACCAACACCAAAATACACACTTAATCTAGAAAACTTTAAAGTAAGCTTCATTATTCCATCTTAATTTAGATTTGCTTAAAATCTAACCAGAACAAGACAGTTGCGATATATATAAATATGACGCGATCCGTATCTATACACTCGTTTTATATAAAAATTAAAATTAAGATTAATTTAGGAGGTAATTAATAAAAGGCCAGAGGAGAGAGTTCAATTTGATCACGTGGAGGCTCACGGGAAAGTTATGGTCTAATTGAAACATAAATGAGCAAATGCTTAAAGAGAGGCAAAACGTTTGGTGATACGTTACCGCGACCACCTGAATTCCAGATCTGGCACGCGGCAAAACGAGTGAAAAAATGCACGGAGTACGAGAGGGCAATATAGGAAACCAGTATTAGGGAGAGTCGGGGTTAATGTGGTCCCTCAATCATAGATGGCAAGCTGTCAAAATGGGGATGCAAACACGTGTCGCATCCACAACTCGGGTGGTCCCATTTAGCTGGACAGCTTATTCTGACACGTACTGTTATTTTAGCAACGTGCGTAGACAGCGACTCCTAGATGGGACTGGGATCGTACGCACAGCTGCCTCTGATAAGCCGCTTTATAACCAACCATAGCTCGGCTTCTCCCTGCGGCTTTGGCTCTCCTCCGCCACCTAGCCAGGAAGATATTTTTATTAATTTCTCGGCTAGGATCCATGTTTTTGAAACGGTGTTTTATATATTTTTTATTTAAAATTTATTTTCAACAAAAAAATATTTTCAAGAGAAACAACTAACAAACTATAAAAACCTAATTCAATTTAAGTTTTATGTAAAATAAAATGGAAATTAATTTAGTTAAACTTAAAAGATTTGAAGGTTAAAATTGCAATTCAATGGAAATTACTTGATTGATATATATTTTATTAATTCTAAAATGATATTATTTTATTTAAAAAATCTTAAAACAAAGCTATTTTATATTAATTTAGATTCACCCGACTAATTTATAATCCAAATCTTAAATCATGTTATAAATAGGGTTAGGTTTGGTAACAAGCTACTGTACAAGTTCATGGAGGATCAAAAAAAAAGTTCTAGAAATGGCACATGCGTGCTGATGATAATGAAATAAAAGTTTAAAGATTTTTATATGGAAATGGTCCATGCATGTTATAGATCTCGTGATAGCTAAGCAGATCTATTAGAAATGGTCCCTCACATATGGTACCGACAGAGGAGAATTGTAGATGCTTTTTTGACGAGCTCAAAAGGCAAAAGCTATAAGAAATGGAACCAACTATAGTTTAAATATATGTGTTGTAATTTGCTGGGTTTTTTTATTTATTTATTGACTTGACTAGCAGGTTAATTCATGTATTTGGATGTAATTTAATTTAAATAATAATATTCTCGTTAAATACGAAGAGATATAATCCCAAATCCCTTGAAACAATCCAAGTGATATCTCAAAACTTAAACAAGGAACGAACGAAGAAAAGAACTATGAACAGCATGGATAGCTTACATTTATTAATTGATTGTCTTTTATTTTTTATTTATTTGGGAGGTTGATGAAATTTAATTTCTGCATAACAATAGAGCTGGTTCGTAGTGTTTAAACGCGGACTAGGGATTTGAATTCTCTTGTCCCTTGGAACGACTCAAGTCGAGCTAGTTTGGAGCTAGGTAGCAGAGTTACCTAACGAAGACATCAGTATCGTTGGAATTATGTGAGCCCGTCCAGGATGTCTATGAATTTGAACAGCTATAATCATTACAGCACATCGGTCCCTTAAATCTTTTGTCTGCCCAAACTTTATATAATATAGTATAACATGTTTTTTTCCTCTTCCATGCAATCAATTATATCATGTAGGACTAATTATGGGATGTCAAATGCTAAAAGGCCGTATCGCTTTAATCAGACTTTTTTTGGTTATGAAAGTCGGAATTTTGTTAAGATAAGCATGCAGTCATTAAGAGCATGGTTAGACATGGAAATGAAGCGATCATTTACAACCAGATAATAAGATCATCACCACGACTTGTTGCTTCCTTCCCTAAATTATCTGCAAAAGCACTTGCTTCTCTAAGCGTATGGATAAAAGCTGCTGCCTTTAAAGCTTTAACTGAGTTGAAAAAACCATCGAAAGCATGCTGCGCTCTTGTTCAACCAGCTCGATGCATTTAAAGAGTCCGTTTCGAAAAAGCTAGTCCATCGTTTGAGCTAAAGATGAATGGTCTGCACTGATCTCAACTGCTTTTTTGATTGCTAGTATTTCAGTCTCACTAGAATGCTTAGTGCCAGTAAGAATTGAGGAAGAATATATCAACTCATGATCCTTAATTGTACTCCACTTATACCTGATACCGTCTGTGTTCCACTTCAAAGTAGACACTGACTTAACAGTCAGGGCTCCTCAATAAAGCATCCCCAGTGTAGCAGAAGAGAGCTCGTCCAAGAACCTCACCCAACGAGCAACCCTGTTGACTGTTGTAAATCAGAGACCACAAACCGCACTGGTCCAGCCTTACATCATTGTAG